GTGGTGCATCTTCCTGTGCACCTCTAGATGATTTACTGGGGAATAATACTAGATGGAAGGCAAATCCTGAAGCCTTCGGGAGAATATTCCTGTTTTCTAACAGACTCCGTTCTGCATCACGGCAGACACCTAAGCATGCAGAGTCCTAAGAAGTATCTCACATCTAGGGTTTCCAGAAGCAGCAAAGGAATGCTATCGTGAAAAGCAAATCATTCTAAACCTTGCAATATGCATTTAATATAAGAAAATTAAATGTGCTGGATTTACAGTGTATTTTCAAGTTAACCCCTGGAAGGACACTGTAGCCAGCCTACCCTGAATTTTCAGCTATTTCTAATCCCACTTGAGAGATAAATCTGGAGTGTGTAGTTGGGCAAGTCTCTTAGGCCATCGCTTTTAGATTCAGCATTGAAAATTAGATAAGTGGTCTCATTTTTCTGAGGAGTTGGGCGCAAATCCACTGATTTAAGTGGGTAGTGGTTGGAGCACCCCCTGGAATATACCTAACAGCATTTCTGACAGATACCTGTTAGAACTTCTTGTTAGAACTTCTCTAGTGTTAGGAGCTTCCCCTAAAGCCACCCAAAACCAAGTAAAGAACTCGCAAAGCAATAATTACTGAGAAGAACGAATACAAAATGGGCTACTTACAGGAACCCAGTAAGAGCAAGTGGATTAGTTCATTTTTAGTTGCCTAAAAAGTATTCTAGCCAAACTGACCTGTTGACTGTGTAGACAGGGTCTAAGAGTAGCTCACTAGGACTTGCACCCCTGGTTAATCATCCGCTGTGGAAGGATGCTGTTTCTGGGGGTCAGTTGTGCAGCTGGCTACCAGAGATGGCTCCATATGCCTTGGGCCTGCTTAATGAAAACAGCCTGAATTAATTACATAAATAAAAGAGGAGCTATGCCAGTTTGAACTGGCTGAGGATCTAGCCCACAGTATTGAAAATATTTCTTGTGAGTGCTAGAAGTCTGACCTTATTTTTGATTGAGACATACAGAAATAATTTAAAAATGCAGTTAATTCTCACATGTATTTTAACAGCTTATCCAGTGAGATCTCTCTCTCTCTCTCTCTCTCTCTTTCAAGATTTCAATTATATGTCATGATAGTGATCATTATATTTCACTAACTTTGGAATAAATAACTTATCAACATTTATTAACTGAACAGGGAGACACCAGATTGCAGTAAAATGTTCAGATAAAGCTTTTTTCTGTACCTTCAAATGTAAACCTGATTAGTCCAGTTTCAGCAAAGTCTGTTCCGTGATTGTATGTTCTACTGAGGAAAATCTAAAAAAATGGATAAACTTTTAAAGATAAATATGCTGACACAAAATTCAGTGCACAACACGAAGAACCCCATACTACCTAATTGTGCACAAGGTGATAATTTACCACTGATTAAAGAGTTTGTATTTTTTTCAAATCTTTTTTAAAGGGAAAATTACTTCTGAAGGTGAAGATGTGCTTAGACAATCATATTAACATATTCAAACAATTGCAATTTGCAAAATAGTAATTACAACTCGCTATCTGGTAGCATTAATCAAACTTCAAGGTTTAATTCCATTTTAAATATTGATGAAATGTGATTCTCCAATCTAACCCTGGTGTTGCAGGGTTATGGAAGCAGCCAGTGACAGAAAAAAGAGGAACGTGTAGTTAACAAGCAGCTGCCACAAAGAAGGATCGGCATCTGTGATTTAAATTGTTAGCTGCACAGTCAGGTAGAGTGTAAAAAGGGTAGTCAAGAGGCTGTTAAGTCCATTGCTGCCAATTACTAACAATCAGGGAGGAGCTTTAAGACTTGTTCAGTACAATAAACCCAGTTTGTCTTGTTTCAGGGGTTACTACTGAAGAGGTTGCAGCTGCACTGATTCAAATAGCCCTAAAACTACAGTAATTATCAACCAGTCTTCTTTAGTGTAGCAAAAGTATGTTTTACCATCGCTTAACTCTTTACATTCTAATATTTCACTGCCTCTTCTCACATAGCTAGCCCTGAAGCCATTCTGATCTCTGGTTTTATGGTTCTTCTAGCTATGCTGGATCAATTCTTTCATTTTCCCTTACCTAGACTGAAGAGCCCACGTATAGCACCCTAGGGTTGGATGGCTAGCACTGGGAATTCTAGGGACTTGCTTTTAGATTATATTTTGGAATATTAAGTCATGATGTCTATTTTTCCTTTTCGTATACAGAGTTGAAATTCATATAGCTCATTCAGTTTTTACAGCTGATTAAATTATATGTAAGTTAATCAGTGCTTATTAACATGTTTTTAATTTGCATGGGATCAGATCACTGCATGAACTGAGACATTTTGGGACTGGTCTGGGAAAGCAAAAATCCTTAGAGCATGCTGCCTAGCGTGCTTTCCTTGGAGACCATGAAAACAGAGTGCAGAAGGAAACAATCTAGGCAAACCAGGGATTTGTTGGAAAACTGTGATTCGAAGCCAAGTGTAGCATCTGCCTTTCTTATTGCTCATAGCTTGGGTGCTCAGCTATGTGACCACTATAGATTTCTCACTAGAAAGGTAGACTGCTTATTTCTAGTATTCAGGTGAGCTATGTATATCCTTACCAAAATGAGATAGATAGGAGGGATGTATAGCACGTGTAAGTTTTGTTTGTTCCTTCACCATGACAGAAATAGACAAAGTTTCATTTCCTTGCAATCACTACAAGCTCAGAAAAACTATTTTTTTTTTTTTAAGTCAAGGAGATACCAGCTCAAATCACAGATAACTTGACTGGACAATATCTGCTCACATGATCACAGCTTTCCAGTGCTGGAACACCTACCGCATAGAACAAAAGCCAGCACATTGATTACAGCTTTGATGTTATTTGTTAAGAACGTTTAAGGACCGCATTTGCATTTCTGCTGGAGCCTTCAGTGGAATCTTTGCCTGTGTAAGGACTGCGTGGTCTTTAAGCCAGGCTCAGTGTTCATCTTTTTAGTTTTCCTTTTAGCATATTTTCCAGAAGCATTTATTTTCTGCTAGCTTATATCTGAATAAGAAATGTGCCACTAATGGGGTGTTTTGTTATGGACCTATTGATTCATAGAAATAGGGAATAAAAAAAAAAAAGGTATCATATCAGTGAAACACAGAAAGAACTATACGTAGGTACTCTGTCAAAACGGTAACCATTTTTCAGGAGTTAAAGCAAATCTACAGGCTGAGCTGTTGAACCAGACAATGGCAGTACGGCAGTATTCTTGAACCCATTCACGCTTACTGGGGCGCTGCTCAGAGGTAAGCGCTCACTACCAGGAGGGAGCTTTTGCCAGCCATCACCCCAAGCATGAGATTATAAGAGGGTCAGCGGGCACAAGCAACCACTTTGTCTAGAAACCAGCGACTGTATGCAAAGAGCAAACAGGAGAGCAGGCTCATGGAAAACCCCCCCACCGTGACTCACCAGCCTTTCTGACTACTGTCAAGGGTGTCAGGCAAGTGCTGCCATTTAGACAAGGGACAAATGCCTTGGTACATGCTTTACTTAAGCCTGCATTTACCCACATGCCAGTAGAGCTCCTTGTGAGCAGCACCTTATGAGAAATGAAGACCTGCACTCAACTCACTTGAACAGAAATGAGGAAAAAGGAGAGGGCAGCAAAAAAAGACAAAAGGGAACAGGAAGAAAAAGGAAAGACAAAGCTGACTTCCTTCAAAGCCCACTGGCATCACTGAGATTTAAACACACCGTTGAAAACTCTTGTAAATCAGACCTAATTTGCCATATACCCTTTCTGTGAACTTTCACTTCTTAGACTAGCACAACTCAATTCCCAGGACCTTCCTACTTTTTACATTTCAAATGCTACTACGCCAATTTAGCTTAAAGATACAACTCAACAGTCAAAAGACTTCCATCAGAATTTGACTCCTTACAAGCAACATGCTGCTTTCTTGATCTATTTTGACCTACTTAAGCCCGGCTCACAACTGTGAATGGCAGCTGCGTAAGTGGGATTCTGCGCTATGCCAAGGGATGTTCACAGCACTGGGATTACACTCCCTCTGCTCTATCCTTCTTATAATCCAGTTTTCTCTTTCAGGTAATGACAGCTGCTACAAAACCCTTAAAATTTAGATGGAGGCAGGTTAGAAGCATGCATCACAAGCAGCTAGTATGAATGTGTTAAGACAACAGTAAACAGAAGAAGCAGCTCTAATATATTCCATTTATACAAAAATAAATAGAGGTATTGTTTTAAGTAATACTTTGGTTTTTCAAGGCTTTTTGAAGTTTGTTTTTCCTGTAGACAGGCCCTTGAATTAACAGGCCATAATTTACATTTGCCAAGTTTTTTTTTTTTTTGGTAACGATACACAAAATTTCTATGCAAACTTTGTTAGACAATTATTTTCCTACGTTGCCTTTGATTTTTTTTTCCTTCCACACTGTCGTGCTCTGAGGATAAATATGACAGACATGAATACTAACAAAGGACACAGAAGATCGTCTAAAATGCTTCTATCAGCCGCTACATCAGCTAATTGTTATCTATTGTAATGTTCATTTCAAAAACAGCATTGAAAGAAAAATTGGAAGAACCAAGTCTTTGACTATAGATTGTTCTTTACCTTCACTTTTCATAAACTGACAAGCAATGCAAACATAGAATAAAACAATCCGTATCTTCATTTCTGATGCTTACACCATATCTCCTACACATGGCCATGAAAAGTCAGAAAAGAAAGTATATATGTATAAATATTAATAGTCGCACCCCAAGTTAATCTTCTCAAATAGAAGAACCATCAGAGTTACTGCCACAGATCCAGTATCTGCTGCCTTGACAAATTCCAACACAACAGTACACGCAATCCTTGTAAGAAACAAAAAATGCATTCTAGGAGACGCCAGCGGCTAAAAATGGATTCAATTCTCAAAGGAAAAATTGTTTGACAGTCTGTAATGCATCGAACAGATCTTAAGCAGTGATATTTGATGTTCTGTTTTTCTCCCTTTCAGATGACGATGAACATGAATGGATTGTTCGGACCTGCCGGAAAGGTTGAGATAAAATAACTGGAAATAAATTTAAACTATGAAAACAGCTTTTTGCTAGATGATAATATTACAAAGTAGGTAATTTGATTCATGATAAGTCTAATTTGTCCTTGTGGATTTGTATCAGCTTTTCCCTCTATAGGAATATAATCTTTTTGTCATCTTTGTCAGCATAAACAAAAATGGAAATAATCATTTAATCAGTCATTCTGAAAAAAAGCCATGGAAAAAAAAGCAGACTGTACTCATAATATTATTCCTGAGAGGTGTGCAGTGTAGTATACATACACATTATTAAGCCTGAAAACAATTTGTTAAAAAGAGTGCCTCAAATTCAATGTCAAAGTCATTCAAATCCATCTTAATCAACATTATTTTCCCAGATTTTAGTTAGCTGTCCTGGTGAATTCCTTTCCTCTCTTTTCGCTCAGTACTTTGATATTGATTGATCATTGTAATAATGTACACCAGAGGTATTCTTTAATGACTGGTTTGCTAACTAGGAAATTATATCCATTTACTACGAACGTTTGTTGAACTCTCCTGAAGCCAGAGTTTAACAAAATAATAAAAGAGGAAAACTGGGTGGGTTGCTGCTTGATTAGTAAGCCAGAAAGTATTTAAAAATAAAATAAAATGGAATTACATCATTTTCTGGATGTGAGTGCCAGCACTTCTACTTGCATTAACTTTATTTATTACACAAATAAGACATTTACAAAGCACAACATTAAAAGTATGTAACAAAACAGACATTGGTTTTACAAAAAAGTGCTTACAATTTAGTTTTACTTTTTTAAAATAAATATTAGTCTTGACTGTCCACTCATTCAGAGAATTTTTTTAACCATTGTAGCCAAGACATGCATAATTGCAACATGCTACAGCAAAATGATTGGCTGATGAAATAAAACTGATGTGTCTGTAATTGGCATCATACAGCTATATCACCGATAGTAGTGCAGGATTGATTCCCACTCCCCCATCCCAACTAGTGAGTTGTGTAAGCACCTTTAGCTAGGGCATTGGGGTTAACCAGCGTGAGCCAAAAAAAAATTTTGGTAGCAAAACTGTAAACCGTTCCACTTTCAGACCCTCACCATATTTAATTACCATATTAAATGTGAGTGAAAAGCCTTTCATTGGCTATCTTCATTGGATTTTGTCTGCAACAGTTTTTGTAAATAGCAACTGGAAAAGTTGAATACATAGAGTCTGCATTACTGCAGCAGAACCCATTTGGCAATTACTGAATAAACTAAAAAAATGAGAAGGATTTTTTAATTTTTTTTTTTTTTAATCTATAGACAGGAGATGAATGCAAATGACCTGAGATAAGGTTTGGTTCAGTGGCAACAGTCAGTGTGAAATGTGTTCTGAAACAATGTATTGAATAAATTAAAGGATTTCTTACATTCTTGGTACAGTTGAGTATTTTCCATACACATAATTAGCTCTAAAACTGCACAAGCTGAATTGCTTCCAGTTTTTGCAAACAATTTGGGCTTAATATAAACAGAGCCTGATTTCTGAATTAGCAAAGCTGCTCCTGGCTACTTGCTGGGGAAACTGCCCTTGAGCACAGTTTGTACAGTGCAATACACTGCATGTCTAGTGGTGATTCCACTACACATATTTGGTCAGAAACATCTACGTTACCTTAGCCCTGTGCATTGCACGCTGGTCCTGTCAGCGGTATCAGTTACAAAAACTTTGATATACAGTACATTTCACAAGTGTTTTTTTTTTTTTTGATCAGTAACTAAGTTGCTATTTAGCAGATACATACTTAATAGTCTCCCTTTCATTGCATTGCTGAGCCAGAAGATAAATGCATCAGACCATTTTCTCTGTCAGCAAAACAGTTGTGGAAATCTCAAGTACTGTGGGATGTCAGGTCAAGTTACAGCCTGGAGTCTCTCCTTCAGTCTTCCAACGAATAGCTACCCATTAGTTTATAGCACTAATTCCACAACTGAACAATCATTAGAACGCGCAAGCACAAATGGAGGAGAACGTTGGGCCCTGGTGACCCCTGCCAACCACCTTCAACTTCTCACAGCTATTTCAAGCAGACACAGCAACTACTACAACCTTGCAATAATAAATACTGAGAATCAGAACGCTCCACTAACAGCCAACAAAACGCGTGCCAGGCCTTTTGCTCGTTGCTATAGCCAAGGAGAAAAGCAACCAAAACAGATGCAACTTTTGACTGTTCTCTCACCAAAGGGACACTTCTGGAGCAGTGGTTCCGGGCAGGTCATGGCTGCAGCAGTGTCTTGTCATTGTTTGTACACATTGGAAACAATTATTTGCTTGCCAAGAGGTTACAATAATATATTGCAGGCCTAATTTCCTCCCTGCTTTTGAATATTATTTTAAGTTGGGAGATAGAGCTGCTAGCTGTTTGTTGCGGTTAATCAGAATACTGGCCTAACTGTCCAAACTGTTACCATCACTGCATAGATAGATATATGTATTAATATATGTGTGTGTGTGTGTGTGAGATATACACACACACACACACACACACACACACACACACACATATATACACACACATATGCATATATAAATATATATATGTACATATATATGTGCAGCTGTTTCAACAAATATGGATAAGTGTTTGTATTCAGTTACTTTTCAGACGGAGACTCCAGCTCTCCCTGCAGCTCGCGCTGCGGTCGTGGTGGCGAGCGCTTAGCTGGAGCAGTCTGTTGCCCAGCGGCATCGCAGCACCTGTAGGGCAGGGCCAGGGAAAGGCTTGCCATGTTTGCAACGCTGCCCGGCCAAACCAGCGGGACGGCTGCCCGCTCGGCCGACGCTGGAGATTGATCCAGGTTCTCCCGGAGAGAAAAACACATGTATCTACAGTCTGAATTAAAAACAAGTTATGTAACTGATGGATTCCTGTCTTCTGTTCCTTGGGCACAGTTCGCTCCCATTACACATTAACTGTGGCTCATAGTAGGCTTTCACATTTTTGGAAATGCTGCCTCCACCAGCGTGCGTACATGGAGAGAGGTTTTGTTATAGACCTAATCTTGGCTTGGTGCAAACTGAGAAGGGTTGGCAAATGTTAGTTGTTTACTTTTTGTTATTACCGTCAATGAAGTATCATTTCAGAGCTTTTTCCCTGATCTGGGGCCAGAGTGCTGAGTACTTCCTTTGTTGTTGCAAGGGGGCTGCCTCCGAGGGTGAGCCCTGCATTGCCTGCTCCTCTGAGAGCAGTCGTTCTGGACTGTGCCTTCGGCCGAGGGCTTGGCAGAAGCAGCAGCGATACGCCAGCAACGGAGAACAACACAAGGGCAGAGGTAAGCAGCCAACGCTGCCAGATGAAAGGACAGGCCGTCACGTTGCTGTACACTCGGCTAGTGACTGTTCCTGCTGGCCTTACAGGCACTGTTGTTTCCACTTTCTTAACCGGTCTCTGATTTCTGCCCAACTGTTTTCACTGACTGAACTTGTTGCTGGAGTCCCCCTCGCGGGGTCCATACCAGAGCAAAACATTTCTACACATTCATGGGCCAGCCCCCACTCAGGATGTCCCAGTCCCAGTGCATTACGTGGCTACGAGGTTTGTGTAGGTGCATTCTTCAATCACCCATTCATGATCCAATACGACTCCCAGGAAATAAAGTAGTTTGTTAATAAGATTTAAGAATAAAAAATGATGATTTGGCAGATGGCTGTGAGATAAGAGATATATTCAGTGCTCTGAGAACAAGTTGGCAATGAAAACCATCAGAGTGCTAAACGTGACTCTGCCACCAACCCCCACTGCCCCTTTCAGTTTAGGACATCTCAGTTTCCCCTCCTAAAAAATGGGGGGGAAAACCCTAAGATTTACTTACCTTACAGAGCGAGCAAAGGACATGTGGTTCTAAAGCACTTTGAGGAGGAAGAGAAACTGCCTACTTCCAGCGGGCATCATGGTTTCCACTTAGTGGAGTCACAGCTACCAATGCACTTGGCTCAGGAAGTTCTGCATATGTATTAAGCTGCTGAGCCAAAGAGCCCATTTCAGATTTCACACGTGAGTGTAAATAAGGAGGGATGTCCTGGAACCAGCAGTGCTTCACTGGTGCAAAAGAGAATCAGGCCAAACCACGTGAATTCCTCCTCTCTTTGTATTGATAGGCGGTCATCGAACCCCCCTGTGACTCGGCATTTACTGTTTTGTTTGTATTCCCATGATTTTGGAAGCAAGATTTTAAGCACAGTAGAGTCACTAATTTTGACTGCGTCCGGCATTGCCTTGGAGAGACTCACTGTCATTCTACAAGTCCACAAGAAACAAGTGAAAAATGTAACTGTGCACTCAACACACACATACACAGAGTGCTGCTGGAGAAATAATAGTGGATGTTAGATGCTGGTCAATGGAAAAAAACCGAGAATGCTGGATTTGAGTTTCTCCTGCATGACTGATTACAGTTGCCTTGGATTGGACACTGTATTTCAACGACTGAGGGGCAGTGGTGCTGGTAGCGCCATGGACAGATGAGGAAGAGTTCGCGCAGTCAGTACTGAAAGAGGATGACCTAGTGGGAAAAACGTGAATTGAGCATTAGCTACTTTAAAAGACAAGCAACCCTCACAATGGACACGTATTCCTAGGGAACAGCAAGAAAAGCACATGTGCCTGCCACCGTGGCGGGCTCTCAGGCAGCAAGCTGCCCCGTGGAGCACATCCCTCCTGCAACCACTGTTTGCCTTGAGCGTCCTCAGTCCTGCCCACGAAACAGAGCAACGCGAGCACCATAGATAGATATCCATAGCTGGGATATCCCAAACAAGAGATAATGGGAGTATGATAATACACGTCTTAATTTAAGTGAGAGATGCACCAACAGGCAGATATTTAGCTGTAAAATTGTATGATACTATACGACAAATGGCAACCAGCAGTTATTTTATTTGCTCTGTGATATCCTCTACAACAGCTACCAAAAAGATTAAGATCAATATCAACTATCCTTAATCTATCCACCTCGTTTGTTAATCATTACAGGTTTCCCTCAAACAGTGGGTCACGCATTCAACCTGGCTGCCCCGCAGGTGCTACCTGCCCTCTCCTGCGGCTGGGGAAGCGGTCGCTGCTCCGCTCCGCTCCGTATGCCACCGGGCAAACACCACCGCCACTCGCACGTGCTGGGCGCACCGAGAGGAGCGGAGACGCGCGTGCTCCTCTCTGTGCAGAGGGAGACAGAGACTCATTGCTTACATAGGTTTCTCCAGGATTTTAACTATCATTGTATTTAACAAATTTAAAAAATTTTGAATGGAAAAAGATACTGCTTCAGGAATTCAACGTGAAAGTGATCCCTTGAAAAAGTAATTTGTTTCAGGGGCAGCTCCAGTCCTGCAACATTTGCAAGAACGTAGCTGCATTTAAATGACAGAAACTAGTCGCCGCAATGAAGTTTCTTTGAATGACAGAATCAGGACCAAGGCCATGGTATAATTTTTTGGAAAATCTCAAGTTTTTGTTGTGTAGATATCATGATAAAATGGTAGCATTTAAACTGAAAAAGTAACTTTGCTGTGCCCCTGCTTGTGCTTATCAAAACAGCACTCAATAATCTAGGGTTGCTGCACTGAATAGAGAGAGATCTGGAAAGAGGAAAGCTGATAACTTCTAAAAGTAAAGACAAAAGCTGAAACAAAAACAGTTGCCAAATGCTCCATGTTTTTCAAAATGAAGCCACTTAACTGGATTCCTAAATAAAGTCTTCTGAGCCTAAGCATGGATATGCAGTTTCAGAAGTGAAATCAACTGTGTGTTAGAAAGGACAAATACTGAGTGTTCAACAGAAAAATATTGATATGCAATAGTGTTTCCTAGCCAGAGGTTGCGAAATAACATTTCTCCTAAAGACCTTGTAACAGGCAGTTGTTATTTTTTAAGCAATACTGGAATCCCCAAGAAATGTATCTTTCATGTTAACTCATGGAAAACTGGAAAGTCAGCACATGGCAAAGGTCCTCCCTGCTCAGTTATTAACAGCCGTTCACTGTTAGCATTGACAGAGTGCTCCGAGAGCTGAGTAACCGAGCAGGAGAAGGAAGCGCATTGCCATATGGAAAGGGAAGATAAAGAGGAGTTCAGGCAGGAAGATATCAAAATACTTCCAGGAATCCAAGCAGAGCATCCCAGCACATCCCAACAAGGAGGAGTATTCAGTGAAGAACAAATTGACAGCATTTTTATCAGCAGTTGGCACATCAATCTAGGGCCACCAAAATAAAGCAGACACAGACAAACTGCTGACAGCTGCCCAAGGCTATGGAGAAGCAGTGATGTGGTCAAAAGGAGGCAGCGGCAATGACACGATACAAAAAAATCTTTGCTACAACTGAGGTTTGAGCCCAAAGCCTGAAACAGGGACTGCAATTACCTTCTCACCCCTGTTAGATAGTGGTCCTTCCATGTCCGCTTTGAGGTGCACCGGCGGCGCGGTGTAGGGGAGTCTGCAGTGCACTTGTCCACACTGTACCTGACCTGTGGATGAGAAGAGGCTTCAGCCTCTGTTGCTGCCAATGGCACAAGCCCTCCAGCCTCCGCGGCGGGCTCCCAGGCCAGGAACATCTCAGGGCACCCGTGAGAGGTAGCTGGTAGATCAAGCAGAGGCTTAACAGGAGCAGCGTTTCCCTGAGACCCGGGTGGGTGAGGGGGAAGCCTGCAAGTCCCACGTAACTGAAATGCTCCAGCCTGGCAAACCAGCAGGGACCAGAGCTGTCCCCCGCTTGGGCAGTGACTCCTTGCCACCGGGAATTATTAGAAAAAGCAACTTTGGTCTTGTGAACAGGAAGGTGAGCACCTGACTACCAAGCTAAACAAGCCCCGGTCATGCCCGTTCTCCATGACAAAAGAGAACATAAGGAGAGATAATGACCAATAAAGTAAAACCAATGCGGTGTCTCCCTTGGGGATGAGGCATCCTCAAGGAAGAGGTATTTGGGACTTCCCAGTCAAGGGGCCCTTCAAAACTCCCCAAAGGGCAAAGTCTTTCAGGCCATGAAATGGAAGAATGCACGCACCACTGGTGCCCATGAGCACGGGCATGCCCAACGCGCTGTCACCAGCTCCCAGCCCAGCATCCCGCTGCTCCCGGCCAGACCAAGCCCACCCGGCACCAGAGCCCATCCCGGCCTTGGGCAGCGTGCCTCCCTCCAGCCCCGCTTACTTTCGATGTAGCCGTGCAGGGTTACCATCCTGGCCCTCTCCGGGCTGCTGAAGGGGGAGTAGTGAATGTCATCGGGGAGCGAGGAGGGGATGCGGGACGGGGGCGCTCCAGAGGGCGGCACCGTGTGCTGCGGCGTGTGTTTTTTATGGCGTGCTCGGCAGTTTTGAAACCAAACCTGAAACACCGAGAGAAACAACCACTATCTGGGTAAAGAGATATTTGGTCCGAAACACGCTCATTTGCAAAGACCCCAAGACGACTATCTCGTTCAAAGGGAATCAGCCGTAGTCAGAAATCTGAACACTGAAATAATTTCTTGCTAGTGCTCTCCTGCCCATCCACGGCCAGAGCGGGCTCTCTACAGGTCCTCCATTGCAGCAGTAACTCGGGCATGAAGGATTTGGGCGAGTCTTACTTGGACTTTAACCTTCAAACCCAGCTAGCCTGGCCTAAGAGCCCTGCTCTGATCAGCTGAGGGCTACATCTGAGTAGACAAGGTAAGAGACAAAGGGGCACAAAACCAAGGAAAAGCTCAGACTAGGAGAAGATAGGCCTTTAGGGAAGATAATCCTGATGTCGTGTTAATCACTGATGTTTTATCACATTCGAAAACCGTGCCAGCACAACGCTAAAGCAGAGAAAATGAAGGTCAGGGTCATAGGATACAGACCTGTTCCAGCTGACTGACCCTTACCAAAGCTCACGCCTTTTAGCTGGAAGAACAGCTAGGGGATTCTGCTGTCGAGCTAAAACCTGGGGGGCTCAGTTGCCTTTTTGTTGTTGTTTTTAATGCCAGGTTTTCTGTTTTCTTTCTTATGTTTTAATTTCTGAAGATAGCTGGGAGTAAAAGCGTTCGACAGCTCGCGGCGAAGGGAAACTCCCGGAGGCCGCGCGGACTGGATCGCAGCGAAGGAAACAGCCGCAAGCCTTTGACAAATTGTTTCCTGCCCAAAGCACCTTTAAAAAATGTCCACATTAAAAAATACTTGGTCTTTAGCTAATTGAAGGATCTCAATAACTGAGACGTGAGCCAGATTTTCACACACCAGAAATTTAGATGAGTCTTTGGCAAGACGGTCCTGGATGAAAGCTCCAAGTTCGCTTTAATTGTTCGTGTTTCTTATTGTATTCAGAAAGTATGTTAGCAGAACAGTAAAGTGAGGAATCGAACTGCAGCAGGGGCCACAGCTGGGACGACTGCGGGAACTGCAAGCTGGGATTTGCACAGGGATTTGCACACATTTTTATCCCGGCCCCTGCC